GCGGCAGGTGGTTTCTTGTCATGACTAAAGGAGATATCAAATTCAACAAATTCTCATCCTGCAGGGGCTGTAAAAGTGCATTGTAGAATGCACGATTGTTATGAAGGATATTTTCCAAAAACCTTGACGCGGTATGAGGATGTAAAAGAACCCCAATTAGACATGTCAAGTAAGGTGATGATCTAAATTGACCTACCAATGCGCCTGAAAGGTATGCATTCCGTACAATGGGGTGTTCACCAGAAACCAGTGAAAATGTTTTACTAATACACGCCGCCGCTATTGAAGGCGCAACATCATACTCAGTCACCACCACCTTTGTTGAGGTGTTGCTACAGGCTCTGGCAGCAAAGATATTTAAAATCCGTACCGGAGTGACATCCACTTCATCTTCATACACTTCAACATCCGCGTCACCACTAGTGATGCCGAGAGATTCATTTAAATAGCTAAGGGCAGGTGATAAATCCTCCCAGCACTTACGTGTATCTTTTAAACTACAACTCGTGTTCGCATCTTTCTGTGACGGGAAATCCACTAAAGATGATCCATCTCCAAAAGTAAACCTCTCGTGCGAGTCGTCCACAAAATCATCACAAGGGTCTCGAAGCAATTGCATGAGAGACCCCGAGACTATATCGTAAACACCGTTGATGAGGGGTGGTAGCTTAACGATGTCACAGCGGGGTGCCAAGGGTGCTTCACTCTGAGTACGGCCTTTTTTTTCCGCAGAAGGTGTCATCCGTCCACGTTGGGATTGAAGGGATGCTCTTCGTGGTAATATGGTATGAATATACACATCGGCATTCTCTGCGTTGGAAAAGGAAGAGTTCAAAACAATTTTAAGGTATCGTGCAAATGCATCCAAGTTCCAGCGGAGATGGTTTGAAGCCTCTTCGGAAATGTAACCAAATTCCACAGCATTGTTGAGGGTTGGCAAAATCCAGCAATCAAAAAGAATAAATTTCGCCAATCGGTTACCCTCAATGTTTCGAATAAGTCGCTCAATAGAGTCAGGTTTGTTTTGACTCCACATGTTGACCGTACCTCCACCCGTCACGCGTTTTTGCCGCATCTCTGTAAGACATTTCCTTACAGCTATAGCGGGTTTATCATGGGTAATGTCAAAGCTAACATGTTGTTGAAGTAGATGGAGATGTACCGTTGTACAAAAGTTCGTCAATAGTGTAGAAATACCTTGCGGAAGCCGTGTCACAGATCTTTTGCCAAACAATGCACTACAAAACTCTCCCATAACGTACTGAATGTCTTGACAAATGAGGTCTTCCAAGAGGTCCAGTCGTTGATTATGGGTAGCCTGTTTTTGACCCGAATTTCGCCAGCGTCCAACTTCAGGCCCAAAGCCTGAAACACCATCGTTGGTTCTGTCGCCGCTTAGGCTCAACTGTGAAATCGATCCCTGAAAAGAGCTTTGTCGAGGGGCCTCCATTTCCAATCCATTTACATACAATAAAACGCTCTCTCGGCGAAGAATGCTAAACAACCGCTCCAGTAACTCCATCAACCACGTGGCACCATGGAGGCGGATGTATGTTGTAATAAACGTCAGTGGTGTTGAAAGAAGCGTTGCCCCTGCATGAAGATCTGGCACGGCGGCGGAGTCATTATATGTTTGGGTACGGGAAGCGGCTAGACGTTTCCTTCGATTCTTCCTATGAGCTAATGTTACAGAATTTCTTTGTCGTTGCTCACCTGATCGAGTTTCTGCCATGCGTTGTCGTTGTAATTCATAGCGAGTTATGGCCTCAACAATCGTCATGGTGGCGTCATACTCCCTTACATATCCAACAACGTAGCCAGATTCTTTGCTCTGAACGGTACTCTCGTCAGAAAGTGCTTGTTGTTGGCTACTCTTTTTGCTCTCCTGCAATAATGATGTGCTGAAAGCCAAGCTTTGCGATGTCAAACCCTTCTTTCCACGTGCAGGTGAAGCATTCGCTAAAACAAGAGAGTCATTTCTAGTTCGGGCCTCGCTGGAAATGAGACTGTTGGCGTTCGGCGTGTCAACAAACCAGTTAACAAGGGAAAAAAGTTCATCAAACGTTGTGTCCGTCAGTTTCCTCAGGGAGCTCCAGTCGATAACCTGAGATTCTTCGGCAGGCATGACGCCAGCTTCATCCTTGGTTGGCTCTTGTTGTTCGTTCTTTGTTCCGTCATCCATGCTCTCAAAAGAGGTTTCATTCTTCTTGTTCGTCGCGCTAAAGACACCGGCATCACTGCCAGGAGCAACAATGTCTGTTCCACACTGACGTCTCAAGGCAGCATTACTCAAAAAAGAAGAGGCGGTGTCAGGGTCAAGAACAAGTTCCGTAAGAAATTCTTGGACACAGAGGGCCATCGATAATGTCGTACGTGCCGTGCTGTTCTCATATGCAAGAAGAATGTCTTCTGTGAGACGCTGTGCAACATTTAATGGACATAACGACGCATTCGATAAACTATATTTGGCACTGCGGATGCGTCGCTGTCGAATATCTATTGCAGTTTGTCTTTTGCTTTCATTCTTCAGGCACTCTGCTGTGTGAAGATGGAAAGAACTGCCAATAAGATCCAGTAGCACGTAGAGAGCCGAAATATGAGCGTGATTGTAGCTATGATCATGAATGAGAAAAAAACTAAAAGGTGACAAACTCCACGCCACGCGATTCTCATACGTTTCACGCCATGTGTTATACTGACTGAAGAGAGGAAGGCCAATCATACGCGGGACTTCATGGCGTCGTCCACGTTTCTTTGCCATAAGAAAGCTGGTTGTCATCCTCTGGATTACTTCAGGTGCAGAAATAACGGCAAAAAACGGTGCAAATTGTTCCAGTGTTTGCATGAGTTTCTCTTCCTCGCCCAACTCCGGTTTGTCCTCCTCCTCCTCGCTGTCCATGGGAATAATTTTCACCGCTCCATCTTTTCCCGTTCCCTCCTCAGTGGTACCAATAGCCGTAGCATCGCTCGTCCTATCTTCACCTGGCTTCGTGTTGGGTGTTTTTTGTTGGCCCTCCAGCTTCCATGTGACGACTTCTAGCAGGCGTCGTTGAACACCTGCAGCAATTCTCCCACGTTTTTTTGCCTCCCGCTCAAACCATAACATGATGCGATTATCCATCAGCAACTGCCATGTCTCACGTTGAAGAAGCAGCAGATCGTCCGCTGGGTCTGGAACCAACTTCCCTCCCTCATCCACGGACGCACCACGTGGGAACGCAGTCCTGTTTGACGCATTCACCTGTGAATTGCGTAAAATGGAAGGAAATCTCAAGGGAGAGGGAGCATCCGAGCCAAGTGGATTTCGTGGCAACTGCGACGAGGTCGCCTCACCTTCGTGTTGACTTAAAAAAGAAAAGACATTGGCCGAGAAAAGTTGCTGGTCGCTGAGGGACCCCAAAAAGTCACCTACCGTTGACACCCGTTGAACCTCAAGGAAGGATCGTCGAAAACCCTGTGTGGACACCGAGCCACCTTTTCGCCGCGACGGTGACGGGGTGGAGGACCGTGAGCCTGAGGCCTCTATCATTTCCATCTCCTCACTATCCAAAGAGACGGTCTGAGTGCTAGCACTGATGTTGTTATCGTCAATTTTTTCTCTTGACTTCAATTTTAATGCGTTGGCCGTCATCACTTCCAAATGCTGCGGCATCGGCGGGGCGTACGTGCAGATGCCATACTGCTTCAGGTACAAATTGCGCCACTGGTAGTCATTCGACTTGGGTACGGGAAATAACGTTTTCTGCATGTCGTCAGTCTATTTTTGTGTATGCACATATATAAATATATTTATTTATATTTATATTGTATGAATGTGTGAGAAGGAAAAAAGATATTGGATGTGGATATCATGAAGAGAAGCAAAACAAAACAAAACAAAAACAAAAAGAAGACATGATTCAAACACGCATCCGCATAAAAAACAAAGATTACAGGCAGACTGATTTTGTGTGCAGTGACGCCGGAAAAAGTGTGAGACTCCCCTCCACCCCCCCCCCACCTCTCTCTCTCTCTCTTCAACACAACAAAGACGCATGAAAAAAAAAAAAAAAAGAAAAGAAGAGGAGAGGGAAAGGGAGGAGGTAAATAAAATCCTTCTTCTTTTTCTTCTCGCCTCCGTCTTCACGTATATGTATGTATGTATGTATGTATATAATTACAAGCATATAATATATTTTGCAGAACTGTCCTGGATTTCCATCCAGAATATTCTCCTTCTTATTTCTTCCAAATATCTTCACACATCTCCTCCTCCTCCCCCACTCCCTCCTCCCCTCCCCACTCCTCCCCCCCTCCTCCTCCTCGATGCACAAGCACAAACTTCTTTCAGTGAAATAAGATTAAAGACAGCCACGATAAACCGATACATACACAAACAGAAAACACACTTCCCTCACGCACTTCACGTCACTCACTCTTCATGCTGTCATTCAGCATCAACGGAGAGAGAGAGAGAAAAAAAAAAAAAATAAAAAAAAAAAAAAAAGAAAAACAGAAAGAAACATAGATAGACAGATGTGTGCCCATCTAAATTAGCCAATAATATTTAATATAATATAATATATATATATAATATACCTACATAAAAAAACAAACAAAAAAAGGGGGAAAAAGAAATATGTTCGTAGATCGTTTCTTCTTCTTCTTTTTTTTTTTTTTTTCCTCAAGAAAACTCTCTAAGAAACATACATCGTCCTTTTTTTCTTCTTTTTTTTTTTTTGGGGAAGGGGGGGGGGGGTTCCCTCTTCCCCTCCACCGCAGTGCTCCATCCATCCCTTCTTTCCTTCCTTTTTTCACTTCTCTCGTTTTCTTGTCTTTGCTATCGCTCTCACTACCCACACACCCACAAATCCTCTTTTTTTTATTTTTTTTATTATTTTTTCTGTTTGTTTGTTTTATATTTCCTCTTCTCCGTCGTCGCGCGATACCAGCAGAAAAAAAAAAAAAAAAGAAAAAAAAAGCCCAAACCCTTCACCCCCCCTTTTTTTGTTCCTCGCACATCATCGCGCAATGCTGGTGAACTTCGCGAGCAGCAACCACGCGGTGAATAACAAAAGAAGAATGGAGCCCGCAAGTTGTGCCACGTCTGTGTTGAAGCGTTTCGGCTTCAGGCCAATGTTCGACAGGTATTGAAGGCACATGATTGGGATGCTTGTTGATGACGGCTTCCCCGTTTCGTCTGTCGGAGAAAATGTGCAAGCCTGCCCGTCAAGCTCATTCACAAGCAACGCCTCAAAGGCGGCAAAAAAAGGCGACATCATTTGAAAGGGTCGTAGTGCTGCTGGCACCGTCTCGGACTGCACGAGAAACCCACCAAAAACAAAATTCCACAAAATAAAAACACTACTAAGTAACGCTGCCGCTCCAAACGATCCCGTAATAATTCCAATGCACAGCACAATAAGCGTAATGCAGATGGAGAAGAGCACCACAATAACAACAAACCAAAAGAAGTGCACCCCATCGTCTACGCGAAGTCCCATAGGGAAGTAAATAAGCGACGCAAGCACCATCGCAGGGACGATGCGGAGTGGAAGAATATCAATAAATATCTTCGAGAGAAGGTACGGTAGAGTGCGATAAAAACCATTTTCCCGTTCCACCACAAAGAGCTTTCGCTCGACAACAAGCTGCTCCAAGCAACTGAGCGAGACAAAGGAAACAACAAGCAGCATAAATGTGATGGATCCGGCACGGTTCAGTGCCCCAGGGAGGTCAAGTCTTTGATCGTGATACAGCACCATCATGAGGCCCCCAACACACGCCGTAACCGCCGCGTGACACAAAAGCAGATGGAAGGACGAAATAAGGCAGCATGCGGCCCGTGAACTTAAGAGCGCAAGCTGCTGGTACACATTTGCATAATAGACATGAAGGGTGGATGCATTGCGGAGAATATCATCGCCTTCCACAAGCGTTTCACATTCACTTACGCCATTTGTGCCATTGTTTTCGCGGGGTTCTCGGAAAAATTCCGTTCCCTCGTGTTGCATCATGCCAAATGTGGAACTCACATCCTCCGCCTGAATCTCCATGCGGGTAGTGTCGTCAAGAATATCTTCCAATTTCATAAGGTACTCCGCATGATTCGGATGATCGGCAGAACGCGGAACCGACTTTGCACCACCCACAATGCGCTCAATACGCTTTTCAAGCGTCTCTGCCGCGATACAGGCCGGTCCACAGTAAATACTCACCCCACGGGAGAGCAACAGGAGTTTATCAAACAATTCAAATATTTCCTGCGATGGCTGGTGAATACTAAAAATGACAATAGGCTTGAAAGCAAAATAATGTGGCGCATACGCCTGCATGGGTGACTCCTTAGCCAATTCTACCACAGACTCCATAACACGTTTTGCACTGACCGCATCTAGACCACTTGTTGGTTCATCCAAAAAAAGAATACGTGGATTCGCAAGCAATTCAACCGCAATAGAGACACGACGCTTCTCGCCCCCGCTCACACCTCGAAGACCACTTCCATCACCAATCACAGTGTGTTCACATTGTTGTAGCCGCAGTGCCTCTATCATGTGTCGAACAATACTTTTAATGGTCGTGTTAGAAAAGGCCTGTGGAAGTTTCAGTCGCGCCGCGTATTCAATTGTCTGATGCACAGTCAATGCTGGTAGTAAAGTATCCTCCTGTGAGACATATCCAATGATGTTACGGTATTGCTTAATTGACTTAGCCGAAGCCGTGTTGACGGGTGTGCCATTGAGGGAAATGGTTCCTGTCGTCCTGCCCTGTTTACTTCGTGCTGACAGGAGATCCAGCAAGGTTGTTTTGCCTGCACCAGATGGACCAAGAATGGCAAGCACTTCGCCGGAGCGCACCGTGAAGTTCACTCGGTTCAGAAGTGGACGTGTTCTCGTCTCCTCCTTTGCGGCAAATCGTGAGCCGGGCAAGGAGTAGGCAAGGTCCGTTAACTGCAGCTCAAAAGGGGACTTCGTGAGACGACGAAAGTACTCAATGCGGTCCGCTTCGTGTGGCATGGCGATGAGAATACGTCTGGCGTCACTCGTCGTGTGCGATCCGCCGGGATGCCTGTGGAAGGAGAGCCCAATGGACTCCGTACCGTTGGAGCTCACATCCTCCTCTGCAGAATCTCCTCGCAGGGAAAGTCGGTTTTGCTGCTGCGGCCCCTTTTTCTCCAGCAAAGAAGTTTTGGCAGGAGTACCACTGCTATCGCTCGCTACATCCAGAGAACACCGTTTTTCCAATTGCGGTTGCGGCTCCGAGAGACCGAACATGCGTACAAACTCTGCAGCCCGCTTGCGCGATACGGAGCGGAGCCACAAGGCGTGCGCGGTAATCAAGAGCACCACTACAGTGAGCACGAGGGTGAGGATAAAAAGGAGGTCGCGCTGCGCCTGCACCGTCTCTGGTTGAACCATCTTTGGTTCATTGGGAAACTTCTTCGTGTCAACACACTCGCTGGCATTGCACTCAAGGTCAAACACGAGCGTGATGTCTTCCATTGTTAGTTGACAGTGACGCGTACGTAAATTACATGCATATCGAATACTATTTCTGATAAGCGGCAAAATCTTATTACCCACGAGTGACTTTGAGCAAACAGGATCATAGCCCTCAGGTGGGTCTTTGGAACAGTGACACTCCGTGTGCTTACATTTATACACGGCGTATACATCGGAGGCTTCGGACCGCATTAAAATGAGCATCACACTAATAAACAGAACCGTGGAAACCGTCAAGCTGACTCCCAAGCCAACCACAATCTTTGCCTTGCGACGGTAGCCGAGTGTAGAAGATACAAAACGCAGCAAGGCAATCAAAGCACATATAGTGAGAATCACCACTTGTCCTGTCAACACCACCGCTTTAAATGCACGACTTGGTTTCGGTGGATCGTTGCTCTCATTACCTTTGTTTTGTACCACCAACTGCATGGAGCATTCTGAAGTGTTGCAATGGAAAAAAGGATCCACAAATTCACGATGGGGCTCAATGCGGAATAAAGTGAGGCTACACACGCCCCCCTCGCCTGCGGCAAAAGCGGTACCATCCTCCGTGCTGCAATTCAATGCGACAACCGCCTCAATTGCTCGACCGCCCCCGAGTATAGATAAAAATGGGGAGTTCAGTGAGCATTCAAACTGTGTGCTGGATCCACGTATGGCGAGACCATGTTGACACACACTGGATGCGTCAAGCTGGGCAGCGCACACTTCATTGCGCTGGCACATTTCGCAGCGCAGACCTGTAAAATTACTAGCCTCGGGACAGTTGCAGTCACCATTTCTCATTATGCCTCCATTCATGCACTTATCGTCGTCACTTTCTTCGAATGCAGCCATGTTCATAAAAGAACGAAAGCCGAGACCACTTGGATCCCTGCTAGGTTCAGACAACAAAAGCTTTTCATACCACGAGAGCAATACATCCGGTGACACGCCCGTCTCTTCACACCACACAAACGACGGTAGTAACACAAGGACAAGGAGGCACACAGTCCCCCCAAGAAGTCGTGATTTCCTAAAAGCATGCATCTACAAGCAGAAAAAAGCAAAAACAAAACCAAACAAATAATAAAAAAAAAAAAAAAAAAACGAAAATAATAATAATAATAATAATAATAAAAGAAGGCTAAACTCTAAGCAACACCTTTGAAAGGAAAAGAGCAAAAAAAAAAAAAAAAAAAAAGAAAAAAAGAAAAAGAAAGAAAAAGATACATGACAGTTTGCTTCAGTGTACCCGCAAAAACATTCCCTTCCCCACTCCGGATGAGATCCATCCAACTACACCTCCCTCCCTCCCCTTCTCACCCACGGCAGGATTACAAATAAATTCAACAGAAATAAAATATGAGAACCGGGACGGCTGGGAGGTGATCACATCGGCAGTCTCCTTCTCAGGCCCCACAAAACCCACCAGGCTTCCCTCCACATGGAGATTAGTAGCCTTCGCAGTGCCACAGTGAGTGCGTCGAACAACAACAAGAAGAAAGAGAAGAAAAAAGAGCCGCAAAAGACCCCTCTTTTCAACGCGGTTTCATGAGAATGAAAACAACAACAACAACAACAAAAAAAAAAATTTATTTTAAATAAACGGGGGAAAATGAACAAGACATGTCAGCACCTACTAATCCTCCACCTCATCCGTTCACACATTCCTTTCCACAAGCTTTTAACCAATAATAATAATAATAATAATAATAAAGAAAAAACCAAAAACCAAAAACAAAACCACCAACAAATAAAGAAAAAATTAAAAAAAAAAAGCCCCAAAACGTCAAAGGATCCACAAATAAGGAGGGAAAATCAACAATACGATCATCCAATCATTTCTTCATGTCCGTTCGCACATCCCTTCTACAAGCTGCTAAAAGAAATAAAAAAGAAAATAGCTCCCTTACAAAAGAAGTTTTAAATAGGGAGTATATAAAAACCTTTGATTCTACCTACTATCTCCTTCTCCCGCTGGTGCACATTGACTCATTGTCCAAGTGTGGCCATGTCAATGACAAAGCGATACCTCACATCACTTTTCATCACACGTTCGTATGCTGTATTAATATAATCGATGCTGATTAGTTCAATGTCCGATACGATGCCGTGTTTGCCACAGAAGTCAAGCATCTCTTGTGTTTCGGGAATGCCTCCGATGAGTGAAGCGCCGATTGACTTGCGCCCCTTCAGTAGCAAAAAGGGTGATACCGGCGGATGCGGGTTCTCCGGCAGACCGACCAGTATGTGCACACCATCCGTCGTGAGGGCGAGAATGTACGGCGACAAGTCGTGCGTGTTTCCAACGGTGTCAATAATAAGATTGAGCGTGTTCTTAACCGCCTTCATCTGCCCCGGGTCCTTCGAGATGACGACGTGGTCCGCGCCGAGCATCCTGGCTGCCTCCCGCTTGCCCTCACTGGTTGTAAAAACAGTGACCTCCGCACCCATCGCCTTGGCGATCTTCACTGCCATGTGGCCGAGGCCGCCAAGCCCCACAACACCCACTTTCGTCCCCGCTTTCGTGCCCCAGTGCCGCAGGGGTGAGTAAGTCGTGATACCGGCACACAGCAGTGGGGCGGTCGCGGCAAGATCAAGGTTGGTGGGAATGAGCAGCACAAAGCTCTCCTTTACCACAATGTGGTCAGAGTACCCACCATACGTGGGTTCGCCGCTGCCGCGAGCCCGTGAGTTGTACGTCGAGGTCGTTCCTTCCACGCAGAATTGCTCAAGGCCCCTCTTGCACTCCACACACTTTTCACATGAGTCCACCATGCAGCCCACACCAACCGTGTCTCCCACCTTGAACTTCTTAACGTTTGCACCAACCGACGTTACATGACCGACAATCTCGTGGCCAGGCACCATCGGAAACAGAGACCCACCCCACTCATCACGCGCCTGGTGGATGTCGCTGTGGCACACGCCGCAGAACAAAATCTTGATGCTCACATCATCGGCCCCAACAGCACGTCGCTGGAAGCTGAAGGGTGCGAGGGGAGCTTTTGCTGACGGCGCTGCGTAACCTTTTGCGTTCGTCGCCATTACGCTTACTCTGGTTTCACGGTATATTCAATTCACTTGGGGAATAAATAGGATTCTACAATAAAAAGGGGGGAACAAAGTAATTATTTGTAATGGGAGAATGAAAAGATCCCTGTGACGGTCACAATAAAGAGAAAAAAAGGCAGGAGAAGGTAAAATAGTTTGGGAGGAGGAACACAACGCACCAAAAAGCGTTCAGCGTACTGGTGGTGATAGTCCCCGCCAGCACCACACGCTCCATGTGCGTCTCAACGAGACTCTCAGTCCCCTACACAGCGAGTTGACACGCTTGAAGTGAGCCGTTAGCCCCCTTTTGGGGTCAATCGATATCCCCTTCACAGAGACGTGGTGTCGCGCCATCTCCTCTTCTTTCGCGTCTCCCTGCAGAGCTTCAAAGTCAACAAACAAAAAAGAAAACAAAAACGAGTTCTCTCCTATACAAATAGTGTACTCCTGAAAATTCTTTTCCTCTGCTTCCTTTTATTTTTGCTCAAATGGATCCACGCATAGATGAGACATAATTCCGAGTTGGCTACAGTCACGACCCTTCCAACAATGTGACCGCACACAATAAAAAAAGGTGCCGTCATAGGTGCACGCCACACAGAACTCCACAAACTGAACCCCACGCAAACCTAAGCCGCCCGAATCAATTATGATCCTCAAAAAGATGTAGCAGTACCTCCCTCCTGCATGTCGACAACAATACAAATACGTAAACAAAAACCTTCCGGCTGCAAGAAAAACAAACAAAAAAAACAAGAAGAGAATCAACAGCAATGAACACAGACAGAAAGAAAAAAGGAAAAAACAACAAAAAACAAAAAGCCACAGGCAAAAATATTTCGTGCATGTTGCAATGCAATTCAGGGAAGCAAAAAGACCTGCTCCACCGATAGGGGCAAATCCGCCGCAATGCTCCAAGTCATACGAGTCCCACACAAATTCCTTCTCTCATCGGACCCACCGCTACTCAACAGACGCTGCCGCTTCTGCGCATTCCTCCAGTAATCCTCAGCAAAGGGGGGTGCAGCGGCATGATACTCACGCGCCTCCTCTTCAAACAGGGTAGTCAACTCCAATAACGTCTGCCTGAATAGCGCACTTTGTGCGTTCGTCACGCCGCTAATTTCCTGCTGACGCTCCACACCAAAGAGAAGCCACTCGATGCACTCTTGCCAGTCCGAAAACTGGCGGCTCTGCATCCAGCGGCGGGTACAGGCGGCTAATTCAACAACTCCGTCCACTCCCCTCTCACTCGACTCCTGTGCGTAGAGCAAGATGTCTGCTGCTCTTCTCGCCACCTCTGGGCACTGAAGCGCCATTCCGACTCCTGCCTCATATGACAGAAACAAACACCGCCGACGGAGCTGCAAGGCTCTTTCACACATTCTTCACAAAAACGAGCTCTAATCTTTTCCCGAGACGGCGAAGAAAAAGCCTAAAAAAGATTAAATGAGATGGAGAGAAAGAAAGAGAAAAAATATCCTCCAGGGCCGCTTTCCTCATCCTGAGGTTATCAGTCACAGAAAACAAACTAGACGGAAATGAGAAGTAAATGGAATAAGAGTGGGTTCACCACATCCCCAAACTTTACACCAAGTAAATGTATGTATATATACATCATCCATTAGCCACAGTTGTGGCCCGCTCACTCCACTCGGATTGGATATATATATATTAATTGAGAAGTGGCAGACTTTGGGGTCCTCCAGCCAAAAGACCCCGCCGCTGCCCTTCGCAAGTTCCACCCCTTCGCCACGTCCTGAAGCGTAAAAACACAACCGCGTGATATGCCGTCTGCGGGGTTTTCTGCACACCGTACGTAGGCAACGGATGCCTGTAATCTGTGAGAGTCCAAAAACTCATATATCCGCCGCAGCTCCCACGCCATGGCGTTTGATTTTGAGCTGCCTTTATTCGCCGCTCCTTGCAGCGAAGTGTTGTCCACCCAAACGTCCATGGTGGATGGCAAGACGGCGGGAAAAGCCGATAAGGCTAAGCGTAACGCGCGTGCCTCGGCCTGCATGATAAGAAAAGGCTCTTCCACTCTCCTCCGGCGATTTTAACGTCGCCGGTGTCTGGAATGAAAACGGCTCACCATCCACAGAGCGACACATAAGTGATGATGGCGGCGGATGCCTTTTCCGTGGGCTTGATGATTCGCCTATGATTATTCTCGATGATGTGTCGCAATCTCTCGCCCAAACCAACCGCTGATGGCGGAACGTTTGCCGGGGATGTCTCCTGCACAATCCCCCGGTTAACTGCCGTTAATCGTCGTCGCACTGCCTTGATGAAAAAGTAGTAAGCACATAAACGCCTGAAAAAAATGGCCGCCGCGTACAAAAAGCGTGACGCCATAACCTCCATTTCTGCGATGGTTAAATACTTCAGCGACGGCATGGCGCATACAGACCGGGCAAACTCATCTCTCAGGGACACCGCCCGGTGAGTATGATCAAACCGCACCCCAAGAAAGGTGTAATGCGTGGCGCCCAATTCGTGATCCTCCTCCATCGTGGCGTGACGGCCATCCGCATTACGAAGTACTTGGACTTCCCACAATGTCGCGTCGCTTTTCGACCCTGCAATGCGTATATCATCGATCCATACGTCGATACGCACCGATGGAGGTGCAGCTCGGAGAAAGTGAACCACCGTCGTCACCCCCGCAATTGCCGAAGTAATAATGATCTGGAGAATTTCTGGGCTGGCCTTGTATCCCATTGGGAGCCGTGCCAGCTCCACCAGCGTGCCATCCTCCACGCGGCATCAAAAGAGATGCCGAGTCCCCGCAGCAACAAAGAAAGAAAAAAGGATGCCTTTAAATCCAGGCAGGAAGCGGCCTCAGTTATCACAGGTGGCAAATAATGGGAAATGTGTAAAAGAGGAACATTGGCCTCGTAAGGGTCGTCTCTCTTCTTTTCACGTGGCCACGCGATCCATCGTCGTCGTGAACCGGTGGGTTTCTCCTCCACCACAGAAAAGGGCATCAT